CTAAGAAACAATGTCTTTAAAAGAGGTAATGAATCAAATGGACCTAACAGACATTTACAAAACTTTACACCCAAACACAAAAGAATTTACCTTTTTCTCAGCACCTCATGGAATCTTCTCCAAAATAGACCATATAGTTGGTCACAAATCGAGCCTCAATAGATACAAGAAGATTGAAATAATCCCTTGTATCCTGTCTGATCACCATGGAATAAAGCTGGACCTCAACAACAACAGAAATAACAAAAAGCCTACACACTGATGCAAACTGAACAACATGCTACTAAATGACATCTGAGTCAGGGAGAAAAAAAAGAAAGAAATTGAAGTCTTCCTAGAACTTAATGAAAATGAAGACACAACATACCCAAACTTGTGGGACACAATGAAAGCAGTGCTAAGAGGAAAGTTCATAGCACGAAGTGCCTTCAAGAAGAAATTCGAGACAGCTCATTCAAGCAACTTAATGGCTCACTTAAAAACCCTAGAAAAAGAAGAAGCAGACACACCAAAAAGGAGTAGATGGCTGGAAATAATCAAACTTATGGCTGAAATCAATTAGAAACAAATAAACAATTCAAATTCAATAAATGAAACCAAGAGCTGGTTCTTTGAGAAAATCAACAAGATCGACAAACCCTTAGCCAAACTAACTAAAAGGCAGAGAGACACCATCCAAATCAACAAAATCAGAAATGAAAAAAAAGGACATAATAACAGACACTGAGGAAATCCAAACAATCGTTTGGACTTACTTCAAAAGTCTATATGCCACAAAATTTGAAAATCTAAATGCAATGGACAATTTTCTTGATCGATTTGACTTACCAAAGCTGAATCAGGACCATGTAAATGAATTAAATAGTCCAATATCGCCCAAGGAAATAGAAGCAGTCATCAAAAGTCTCCCATCCAAAAAAAGCCCAGGACCAGATGGTTTCAGCACAGAATTCTACCAGACCTTCAAAGAAGAGCTAACTCCAGTTCTCTTCAAACTATTCCACAAAATAGAAACAGAAGGAAGACTACCAAACTCATTCTATGAAGCCACAGTCACCGTGGTACCTAAACCTCACAAAGACCCAACAAAGAAGAGAATTTCAGGCCAATCTCCCTTATGAACATTGATGCAAAAAATACTCAACAAAATACTTGCAAATGGAATAGAAGAACACATCAAAGCTATCATCCACTATGACCAAGTAGGCTTCATCCCAGGAATGCAGGGGTGGTTCAATATACAGAAATCCATCAATGTGATCCACCATATTAACAAACTGAAAGAAAAAAAAAAACACCTGATAATCTCCCTAGATGCTGAAAAAGCATTTGACAAAATCCAACATCCATTCATGTTTAAAGTAATGGAGAGATTAGGGATACAAGGCACATATCTAAACATAGTAAAGGCTATGTACAGCAAGCCTATAGCCAACATCAAACTGAACAGAGAGAAACTTAAAGCAATCCCACTGAAATCAGGGACAAGACAAGGCTGCCCACTCACTCCATATCTCTTCAACATAGTACTTGAAGCCCTTGCTAGAGCAATAAGACAGTCGAAGTAGATCAAGGGGATACATATTGAAAAGGTAGAAGTCAAACTACAACTATTTGCAGATGAGATGATAGTATGCATGTGTGACTCCCAAAACTCTACCAGGGAACTCCTACAGCTGATAAACACCTTCAGCAAAGTGGCCGGATACAAAATTAACTCAAAAAAAAAAAAAATCAGTAGCACTCCTGTATACAAAAGACAAAAGGGCTGGGAAAGAAATTAGAGAAACAACATCCTTCACAATAGCCACAAACGACATAAAGTACCTTGGTGTAACCCTAACCAAGCAAGTCAAAGACTTGTATGAAGAAAATTTCAAGTCTCTGAAGAAAGAATTAGAAGAAGATATGAGAACATGGAAAGATCTCCCGTGCTCATGGCTTGGCAGGATTAACATAGTAAAAATGGCCATCTTACCAAAAGCAATCTACAGATTTAATGCAATTCCCATCAAATTGCCAACACAATTCTTTACAGACCTGGAAAGAAAAATTCTCAACTTCATATGGAATAACAAGAAACCGAGAATTGTTAAAACAATCCTCTACAATAAAAGATCTTCTGGAGGTATCTCCATCCCTGATCTCAAGCTGTAATATAGAGCAACAGGTATAAAAACTGCATGGTCTCTGACATAATCTGATTGGCCTGCTCGTTGATCAATTCCCCCCGAGGGGGGAGCAGCCTTACCAGGCCACAGTAGAGGACAATGCAGCCACTTTTGATGAGAACTGATAGACTAAGATCAGAAAGAAGAGGAGAACCTCCCCTATCAGTGGACTTGGGGAGTGACATGCATGCAGAAAGGGGAGGGAGGGTGGGATCGGGAGGGGAGGAGGGAGGGGCTTATGGGAGGATACAAAATGAATAAAGTGTAATTAATAAAAAATTTAAAAAAAACTGCATGGTACTGGCATAGAAACAGAATGGTGGATCAATGGAATCGAACAGAAGACCCAGAAATAAACCCACACACTTATGGACACCTAATTTTTGACAAAGATGCCAAAACCATACAATGGAAAAAAGATAGCATCTTCAACAAATGGTGCTGGTCCATCTGGATGTCTACATGTAGAAAAATGCAAATAGATCCATACTTATCACCCTGCACAAAACTGAAGTCCAAGTGGTTCAAAGACCTCAACATAAAACCAGACACATTGAATCGGCTAGAAAAAAAAAAAGTGGGGAATACCCTAGAACTCATTGGTACAGGAGAAAACTTCCTGAACAGAACACCAACAACACAGGCTCTACGAGAAACAGTCAATAAATGGGACCTCATGAAATTGAAAAGCTTTGTAAAGCAAAGGACACCGTCATCAAAACAAAACGACTGCCTACAGATTGGGAAAGAATCATCATCAACCCTTTATCTGACAGAGGACTCATATCCAGTATATATAAAGAACTAAAGAAGCTGAAAATCAGCAAACCAAGTAATCCACTTAAAAAAATGGGGAACAAAGCTAAACAGAGAATTCTCGACAGAGGAATATCGAATGGCAGAGAAGCACTTAAAGAAATGCTCAACCTCATTAGCCATTAGAGAAATGCAAATCAAAACGACCCTGAGATTTCACCTCACACCCATCAGAATGGCCAAGATGAAAAACTCAAGTGACAACAAATGCTGGAACTCATGCTGGAGAGGTTGTGGAGAAAGAGGAACCCTCTTCCACTGCTCTTGAGAATGTAAACTTGTACAACCACTCTGGAAATCAATCTGGCGCTTTCTCAGACAACTAGGAATAGCGCTTCCTCAAGATACAGCCATACCACTGCTAAGCATATATCCAAAAGAGGCTCAAGTACACAATAAGGACATTTGCTCAACCATGTTTCTACCAGCTTTATTTGTAATAGCGAGAAGCTAGAAACAGCCCAGATGCCCTGAAAAATGGATGCAGAGATTGTGGTACAGCTACACAATGGAGTATACTCAGCAATGAAAAATAAGGAAATCATGAAATTTCCATTAAATGGTGGGAACTGGAAAGGATCATCCTGAGTGAGCTGTCCCAGAAGCAGAAAGACACACACGGTATATACTCACTCATATAGACATGTAACATAGGATAAACCTACTAAAATCTGTACATCTAAAGAAACTAATCAAGAGAGAGGACCCTGACTAAAATGCTCAATCCCCATCCTGAAAGGCAAAGAGGATGGACATCAGAAGAAGAAAAGAGGAAATAACCTAAGAACCTGCCACAGAGGGCCTCTGAAAGGCTCTGACCTGCAGACTATTAAAGTAGCTGCTGAGACTTATGGCCAACTCTTGGACAGAGTGCATGGAATCTTATGTAAGAAGTGGGAAATAGTAAGATCTGGAGAGGACAGGAACTCCACAAGGAGAGCAACAGAACAAGAAAATTTGAACACAGGAGTCTTCCCAGAGACTCAGACTCCAAACCAAGTACCAGGCATGGAGATAACCTAGAACCCCTGTACAGATGTAGCCCATGGCAGTTTAGTGTCCAAGTGGGTTACATAGTAATGGGAAGAGGGACTGTATCTGACATAATCTGATTGGTCTGTTCTTTGATCACCTCCCCCTGAGGGGGGAGCAGCCTTACCAGGCCACAGAAGATGACAATGCAGCCACTCCTGATGTGATATGATAGACTAAGATCAGAAGGAAAGAGAGCAGGACCTCCCCTATCAGTGGACTTGGGCAGGGGCATGCGTGAAGAAGGGGGAGGGATGGTGGGACTGGGAGGGGAAGAGGGAGGGTTTTATGGGCAATTCAAAGTGAATAAAATATAATTATTAAAATAAAATTAAAAAAAAAAAGAAATAAGAAAGAAGCCATCCCCATATGGGAACTTCAGAGATCATTGCCACAACAGACCTTCACATTCTGGTGAAATGTTGTCCCTAAATATGATTCTTTTCTGGAATATAAACACATACACCATTAAAAAGCATATTGGCTGTTTATTACATTAATGTAATGGGGATAACATGTGATAGAGTTTCTTTTCAGATTAGTTTAACCATGGTATGAATAAGGTGCTTGTTATAGGGCCTTTGTGAACATATATGAGAAACACCATCTAAAGGCTCCACAGGAGAGTCCAGATCTGTCTGGAAATATTACGGTAATGCATGCTGATTTTTGTGTACAGATGTACATTCATTTTCTGAAGAAAAAAATTCAGTAAATTTAGCCTCACTTTAGAGAAAACTGTTGACAAAAATAAGGTTAAAAGGCAGTGATCAGAGATTATCAGGCTCCATGACTTCTGGGTAAGAATGATTTTGTTGATAAGAAGGAAGCCAATGGAAGTGTTTAAATCATTCTAATTAGCTAATCCTCATTGTCACCAAATCGCATAGTTAACTTCATTATGTGAGTCTAACTAGAACTGATATGATTATAATGTTCCATCCTCAAGGTCTCGTTTATTTTTTAAAACTTTTTTTCTCTTACTCACTTCAGCAGCACACATATTAAATTGGAATGATACACAGAAGATTAGCATGGCTCTTGCATAAGGATGACACTCAAATTCGTGAAGCATTACATATTTTTTTAAAGGCAGACCTATCAGATTCACACCAGGCTGCTCAACAGAGACTATGAAAGCCAGAAGAGCCTGGGCAGATATCATGCAGACACTACGATATCACAGATGCCAACCCAGAGTATTATATACAGGAAAGCTTTCAGTCAACAGAGATGGAGAAGACAAAATATTCCATGACATAACTAAATTTAAACAATACATAAGCAGCAATCCAGCCCTACAGAAGATACTAGAAGGAAAACTCCAACCCAACGAGATCAACTACACTCAAGAAAACACTGGATGAAGACAGCTTCACAACAAAAAATCAAAAGAAAACAAGCACACAAACATACTATCACCAACAATTCCACATTAAAAGGAACTAACAAGCATTGGTCACTAATATCTACTAACATCAACAGTCTCAACTCTCTAATAAAAAGACACAGACTAACAGAATAGTTGTGAAAACAAGATCCAGGATTCTGCTGCATCCAAAGAAATACAATTCTACAATAAAGAGAGACACTAACTCATAGTAAAAGGCTTGAAAAAAGTTTTCCAAGCAAATGGACCCAAGAAGCAAGCTGGAGTAGCCATCCTAATATCTAACAAAATAGACTTCCAACCAAAATTAACCAAAAGAGATGGAGAAGGAAACTTCATTCTCATCAAAGGAAAAATCCACCGGGAGGACATCACAATCCTGAACATCTATGGACTTGCATTTGTTAAAGAAACATTATTAAAGCTTAAATCACACATTGCTCCCAACATCTTAACAGTGGGAGACATCAACACTCCACTCTCACCAAGAGACAGATCACTAACATAGAAGCTTAACAGAGAAATAATAACGCTTACAGGGGTCTTAAATGAAATGGACCTGATAAGTGTCTACAGAACTTTAAACCCAAACAAAAAGAGTACACCTTCTTCACAGCACCTCATGGAACCTTCTCCAAAATTGACAATATAGTCATGCACAAACCAAGATTTAACACACATAAGGAAATTTATATAATCCATTGTATCCTACCAGACCACCATGACCTAAAACTAGACCTCAACAACAAAAGAAATACCAAAAAACTTATACACACATGAAAACTAAACAACTCTCTACTCAATAACAAGTGGGTCAGAGAAGAAGTAAAGAAAAGAATTAAAGACTTCCTAAAATTCAATAAAAATGAAGGTACAACTTACCCTAACTTATGGGACACAATGAAAGCAATGCTAAAAGGAAAGTTCGTAGCATTAAGTACCTTCATAAAGAAACTCATGCAAGCAACTTAACAGCACACCTAAAAGTACTAGAAAAAAACAGAAGCGGACACACTCAAGAGGTATAGATGGCTGGAAAAAATCAAACTCAGGGCTAAAATCAATGAATTACAAATAAAGAGAACAATTCAAACAATCAACGAAACCAAAACCTGGTTCTTTGGGAAAATCAAGAAGATAGACAAACCCTTAGCCAAACTAACTAAAAAGCAAATGAACACTATCCAAATCAACAGAAAGGAAAGGAAAGGAAAGGAAAATGGGGACATAACAACAGACACTGAGGAAATCCAAAGAATCATTAGGTCTCACTTCAAAAGCCTATATGCAATAAAATTTGAAAATCTAAATGAAATACACAATTTTCTTGATAGATTCCACTAACCAAAGCTGAATTAAGGCTAGGTAAGTAAATTAAGTAGTCCTATATCCCTAAGGAAATAGAAGCAGTCATCAAAATTCTCCCATCCAAAAAAAAAAAAGCCCAGGGCCAGATTGTTTCAGCACAGTATTCTACCAAATCTTCAAAGAAGCACTAACTCCAATTCTCTTCAAACTATTCCACAAAATAGAAACAGAAGGGAAATTACGGACCTCTTTCTATGAAGCCCACAGTCACCTTGATACCTAAACCACACAAAAACCCAATAAATAAAGAGAATTTCAGACCAATCTCATTTATGAACAGTGACACAAAAATACTCAAAAAATACAAACCGAATCCAAGAACACAATAAAGATATCATCCACCATTACTTAATAGGCTTCCTCCCAGGCATGCAGGGGTGGTTCAACACACAAAGATCCATCAATGTGATCTACCACATAAGCAAACTGAAAAGAAAACACACACACACACACACACACACACACACACACAATTATCTCCTTAGGTATCAAGAAATTATTTGACAAAATCCAACAGCCATTCATGTTTAAAGTCTTGGAGACATCAGCGATACAAGGCACATATCTAAACATAGTAAAAGCAATATACAGCAAGCCTATAGCCAACATCAAACTAAATGGAAAGACACTTAAATCAGTCCCACTGAAAACAGGCTGACCAATCTCTCTGTATCTCTTCAACATAGTACTGGTAGTCCTACCTAGAGAAATAAGACAACTAAAGGAGATCAAGGGGATACAAATCAGAAAGGAAGATGACATTGTATCACTATTCATAGATTATATGATAGTATATGTGAGTGAACCCCAAAATTCTACCAGAGAACTCCTTCAACTAATAAATACCTTCAGCAAAGTAGCTGAATACAAAATTAACCCTCCTGTATATATATGATAGATAAAAGGGCTGAGAAAGAAATTAGGGAAACAACACCCTTCATAATAGCCACTAATAACATAAAGTACCTTGGTGTCACTCTAACCAAGCAAGTGAAACAACTGTATTAAAAAAACTTCAAATCTCTGAAGAAAGAAATTGAAGAAGATATCAGAAGATGGAAAGATCACCCATGCTCATGGCTTGGTAGGAATAACATAGTGAAAATGGCAATCCTACAAAAAGAAATCTAGAGATTCAATGCAATTCCCATCAAAACACCAACACAATTTTTTTACAGACATGATGATACAATTCTGAATTTCACATGGGAAACAAAAAAAACCCAGAATAGCTAAAAAATATCCTGTACAATAAAAGATCTTCTGGAAATATTTCCATCCCTCATCTCAAGCTGTACTATAGAGCAAGAGTAATAAAAACAGCATGGGACTGGCATAGGAATAGACTGGTGGATCAAGGGAACAGAAAAGAAGACCCAGAAATAAACCCACACACCTACAGATACCTGATTTTTGACAAAGATGCCAAAACCATAAAATAAAAAGAAGATAGCATCTTCAATAAATGATGCTGGTCTAAGTGGATGTCTATATTAGAAAATGCAAATAGACCCATATTTATCATGCTACACTAAAATAAAGTCTAAGTGGATCATAGACCTCAAAATAAAACCAGACACAATAATCCTGTTAGAAGAAAAAATGGGGAAGAGCCTGGAACTCATTGGCACAGGAGACAACTTCCTGAACAGAATACCAACAGCACAGGTTCTAAGATCTACAATTAATAAATGGGACCTTATGAAACTGAAAAGCTTCTGTAAAGCAAAGGACATGGTCAAAAGAACAAAATGACAGCCTACAGACTAGGAAAAGATCTTCACCAGCCCTATATCTGACAGAGGGCTAACATCCAGAATATATAAAGAACTTAAGAAGTTAAACACCAAAACACCAAGTAATCCAATTTAAAAATGGGGTACAAAGCTAAACAGAGAGTTTTCAACAGAGGAATAAATAGAATGGCACAGAAACACTTATAGACATGCTCAACATCCTTAGTCATCAGGGAAATGTAAATCAAAACAACCCTGAGATTCCATCTCACTCTCACCATAATGGCTAAGACCAAAATCTCAAAGGATGATACATGCTTGGAGAGGTTGCAGAAAAAGGAGAACTCTCCTCCATTGCTGGTGGGAATATAACCTTGTACAATCACTTTGGAAATCAATCTGGTGTTTTCTCAGAAAATTAAGAATAGTGCTACCTCAAGATACAGCTAAACCACTCCTGGGCATATATCTGAATGATGCTCAACCATACAAGGACATTTGTTCAACTATGTTCATAGCAGCTTTTGAAAGGGTTAAATTAGCAGAACCAACTCTATGTTGATTCTCAGACTCTATCCAAGGTTTGCTTGTCCCTGAAGTACTGTGGCTCCCACCCTTGAGTTCTGAAAAGGAAGGAAGGAAGGAAGGAAGGAAGGAAGGAAGGAAGGAAGGAAGGAAGGAAGGAAGGAAGGAAGGAAGGAAGGAAGGGAAAGAAAGAAAGAAAGAAAGAAAGAAAGAAAGAAAGAAAGAAAGAA